CCTCCCAGCTCTTTCCTCTATTTCCATTGATTCTCCTCCTGTCCCACTATCATGCTCTGTCCCCACCAGGATTTCAGCATTTCCTCTTTGTTACGTTCCCCTTGATCCTGCCCTACCAGGTCTCCCACACCCACCTCCCCACCAATTTGGATCGCTTAAAAAGTTAACTTTATCGTGCTGAATTTTTATTATAAAAGTATTCTTTGCCTATTATAAAAAATAAATAAATACGTTTAGAAGGTGAGAAAACCTAACCGGGAGGTAAGGAAAACCTAACCGGGGATCTGTCTTTCAGGTCGAGAGAACGAAGGATTATGTCAGTGGAAGTCTTGTCCTAGGAGAAGTCATCTCCGTGGCTGACGTGGCCACAGGAGTGAAGGTAAGAGGTGCTGGGCTGCTCTTTCCGACTCTTTATGGCCTGGTGCCCGACTGGAATGGCTCAGAATGACACCGGTCACCTTGTGCGTGACCTTTGTTCTTACTGGAGCTGATGTTTCCACCATGATAGACCCCACAGTTTCCCTCCCCGACTCCTGCTTTATCCAGTCCTGGGCTTAATTTCCCTTCACATTTAATTACACAGGGTTTCATTGCATTTGTGTCTCTCAGTGGTTTTAGTTTGTTTTAATTTCGCAAAAGGTACCGTCATCGTTTGGGGTTTACTTTTTACAATGAAATGCCATGGCTAAGGTTGATCCATGCAATTTCACATCACTCTATTCACTCAGGGTTTAATTAAAAACAAGAAAAGAGTATAGTTTGAGATGATAATACTCACAGGAAGTTGTAAAGATAGGGCCCAGAGTTCTAGGACTCCTTACCCAGCTTCCCTTAGTTGTGGCTTCTCATGTAGCCGTGCCCCCCAAACCAAATCTGCTGAGGGCCGCGGAGTCCATGTCAACCTGTAAAGGCCTGGTAGCACGCAGTGGAAATTCTCCCTAGGTTTCCGAGGCTGTGTTCCTTACAGAAACAGACCGCATCGTCCTTCTGCGGAGCGGCTGACGGGTTCCAACTGCCGGCCTTTCCCTTAGCGGCTGACCGGTCACTTTGGACAGTGGTACAAGGGGCTAGCTAGACCGCAGATCTTGTTTACATCTCATTCATGCTCACATGCACGCAATCATGCATGCCTTCAGGTCTATCCAGCTTGATTCCCTATCTGCATGACCACCACCAGAATCAAGACACAGGACAATTCCATCTTTATGAAGAAATTCCCTCCATCTTTATAGTTTTGGTATTTTGACAATGGTATATAAATAGAGCTCGTTCCTTTTTGGTGGCCACATAATATTCCATTGTTCAAACATACCACAACATTTATCCATCTATTTTCTCATGTCATTTCCCAGAACTTGCTAATGGAGAAGGTGCTGTTGTGAATATTCTCATCCAAGGCTGGCATTAAACATGTGTAAAAGTTTCCTTTAGGTTTTCAATCAAGAACAGAATTGCTAGCCACAGGATAAATGAGTAACGCCTGTCTGCTTTCTAAAGTTGTATCAATTCACATTCCCACCAGTAGCATTGAAGAGGGTTTTGTAGATCCGCATCCTCTCCCACATTGTCAATTGTTAGATTTCCTTTTTGCTGATCACATGGTATACAATGGTATCTCCTTGTGGTCTTGCCTTGTGACTTCCAGGTCAGTGAGAAATGTTAATGGAAATGCTTCCTGAGCTCAGGTGCACGTGACTGGCACATGTCTTCAGGGTGTTCCAAGTCTCCCAACAAAGGGTCATTTGTGTGCCCCTGCACATGCCCTCCTCTCATTCCCTGGCCACCACTGGGCCACAAAATATGTCTCCAGATCCAACCATATTGCTCGAGTGTCCTGAAGGGTGAGAAGTGATGGCTAGAACATGAAGAATAAATGATAGGATGGGAAGCCAAGTCTATTAATGGTGGTGGCTCTAAGAGCTCGTTATTTCTGCTTTGTGGTGTGAGCTTCTTCTGTGGATAAAATTTGAAACAAAGAAATGGAGTTGTGCCATCCTATTGGTGAGAGTGGGTCCGGCTGTGTTGTTAGCTGGACGGACTCTTCTCTTTCCTGAAAAGTGGCCTCTGGCTTCTGGAGAGATGTGACAAATACACCCCCACTCTCAGAAATATTGGGGATCCCTAGTTTAGACTTAGGATCTTTAGTCAGTTTGTGCAATTGCCATATTGCCCCTCACCCTTTTTCTTTCTGTCTGGCCTCTGGTGGATTGTCACAGTGGGGAGATCGTCACTGGGTGGGGAGCCCTCCTCTCTGTCTTCAGGATCTGGCACCAGGTACACCGAGCTGCTAGGTGAATGTCTGAATGAACGGAGAACAGCCTGTGGCTTCAAACACAAACATGTCATCCGTTTGCAGGGCACCTCATTTAGCTCCATTGTCCGAAGGACACAGGGGAAAGAAAAGGTATGTGTCAGCTGGGTAATTTGAACATTTAGTAGTATTAGGGAAGTAGTGTTGTATTTTTAGGTGGGATAAGGGGTTTACGGTTCGGTTTAAAAGAAGAGCCCTTGTCTTTGACAGCTACATAGTGAAATGTTTAGGAGTGCAGTGCTATGATACTTGGGATGGACTCCCAGATAACCAGGGCGGTGTCAGAAGAATGGAGGCCTTTGGTAGTGCCAATGGCTGTTAGTATACCTGATGATTAATGGACAGGTTGGAGGTTCGAGTTCACCTAGAAGCTCCTGTGAAGAAAGGCTAGTGCGCCACTTCTCAAACTCAAGGCATTGAAACTCTGGGGAGCACAGTTCTAATCTGACACACATACAGCGGCTGTGAGTATGAATGGTCCAAAGGCAATTACTTACCAGTGAGAGGAGAGGTAAGGAAATGGGCTTACATGGGAAGCCAGATGGACCTGAGCCGGTCACTGTCCAGTTCATTATCCTCTTCCATTTTGTTTGCACGTGTTTGTAACTGCAAGTTAAAAAAAGAAAGCACTACTGCAGAGTGCTGTAGAAGAACATCTGCGTATCTTGAAAGAAACAGGCTTTAAACATACTTCTCTGATCACTTTACCCTTCAGCTCAGAGGCCCTCTGCAGCGTCCAGTTGCGCTTTCGAAGACCTGAGTGAACTGGTCTCTCCAGACACCTAGTGTGCCATTGTCTCCTCCTCTCCGGGAGCTCCTCCCAAACTGCCTGCGTTCGCTTCCTCTTACCCCTTGGGACGGCTGGTGCCCTCGCCCTAACGTGATCTTTCTCTTCCTTTCCCTGCTTGACTGCGATGCCTGCTTATTCCTCAGGTCTCCAAGCATTCATCCTTCCCTCTGGGAAGTCTTCCCGAAATCTGCAGCCGAAGTCCTCTGGAAGTGTCCCATCAGAGTCCACACCCCAGTTTGAACTCATCTGTTCATTTGTGTGACTGATGATGTCTCTTAGCTCCCCTGGAGGGACCATCCCTGGAGGACTATCCTGTCGGCAGTCTTGGTTCCTGATAGGTGTGCAGTGCATGATTATTGCTGGCTAAACAATGGCCTATCCAACAGGAATACAACAGACTCACCCCTCTTTGCCTACCAAGGACCCCCGGTGGCGACATGGTTACATGTTGCCTCCCAGTGCATCGGTCCCTGCTGGGGATTTTCTGGAAACCTTGGATAGAGGGAAGTGTGCAGTGTGTCCCTGGGTCCACCCAGAAAGGCTGGGGTTGTCTTTTGTGATGGCAGTATAGGAGGTGTCGGGAGAGAGGGACATGGTAGGTTGGGAGTCATTTCTGTGAACCCTGGGCTGATCAGGGTGTCCCCAGATCCCCTCACCTGCCCCAAAGCAGCTCCTGGCCCCTGGCAGGTCTCCTCTCCACTTTCCCCGGAGGCCCATCTGTATCAAACCCATCCAAGTTCTCTGTGTCCCAGGCCCATCTCCTCTCCCCCTCCAGGTCTGTGTTTATCTAGAGGTGCTGGATATCCCTGAGCGCTCTGGACAGACACGTGGTTCCCACACAGCCCAGTGCTGGCAGGGCCGTGTCTGGCTCTGAGAGCAACCCACAGCAAGGAGGGTGGGAACGTGCGCGGGGTGCCAGGGAAAGAGCTCTCCGTGCTGACGGCTCCGATTCCTCACTCCAGCTTGGGAGGCAGCCCAAGGTCTCCTGCCAAAAACGTGGCTGTGATCTGGAAGGCCAAAGAAACGTGACATATTGCCTTTTCTTCTCCTTCCCCACGACGGTTCTCTCTGTTTTCCTGGCTGGCCTCATTCCGCTCTCCTTTCTGGGGTGACCCTCTTCCCCAACCACCCTTCCAGTGCCTCAGCACTTCCCATTTGTCCTTGGAGCGAAAAGTCTGGCTGCACTCCAAGGCCATTTCTGTCTGACTCATCCTGGCAGATGCCAGGGCAGAGTTACAGTCCCTGCGACGTTGGGCCACGTTCTGCCTCTAGGGTTTATCAGCCAGGAGACAGGCAGGTTTGTTTAGACACCTGCCCCTCACTTTTCTCTTCTGCCAAGATGGTGCTGCTAGCAGCCTTTCCATAGATTTAAATCAAGGTAGACCACGAGGAAGTCCAGGCCGTGTCTGGCAGGTAGCAGGAGCTGGTGGAGATGTGCCTCATCTGAGAGGAGCTCTTCCTGAATCTTCCAGGTAGTGGCACCGATAGTGGGTTGACATGAGACCCACTTGGGTTCCCAGCTTCAGGGGGCCAGGCTTCCTGGCAAGTTCAGAGGCCCATCCTTTGGCTCCTTTGCCCTGTCCTGACTGCAGCTCCCAGCCCTGTGTTCTCTGTGCCCGTGGCCCCCTGAGGCTGCTGCCATCCCTCGTGGGGCAGACTGTCATGACCTCATGCTCCTGGTGCTGGATCTGTGCCTTTGCTCTGCCCCCAAAGCGAGGGAGGACAGAGGGAGCATTCCCAGACACACGGCACAGGTTTGAAGTTAGGTTGTCATGCAGTGTCCCTTGTGGATGTTATTTCTTCACCACTGTGTTACCTGCAAATGGAGCTCTTTCGTGTCTTATACCCTGAGGGGCTCTAGGGACCTGGAAAATGGGCAGTGATGACAGCAGTGGACAAGGTGCCTGTGCCGTCTGCTCCGGATTGGTTCATGCCCGTCTCCTGTCAGTCTTCACATCTCCATCCTGATTCTTCATAACCGACGAGGAGTACCCCAGCTCCTCCTCCCTGGCTTCTCCTTCAAGCAGTCACTGGTCTCCCTTCAACAGAGACCAAAGACTCAGGGTTGCTCTAAGGTCCTCCTTTCCTTCTCCCAAATCCAACCCATCAGCGCCCAAGATCTACCCCAAATCTTCCTAGTTCCTCCCCCCCACCCCCAACCCCTTGATGGATGCCACTGCAATTTGAGCTGTCACCAGCCTTCCTCTGCCCACCTCAGCAGCTGCTCCCCAAGCCGGGCTCCATGCTTCTGGCCCCACAGAGGGACAGTCCCAAGTGGAGGCAGGTCACAGAGGTCATCTGCTCTGGACCCTCCACACGCTCCCATCCACTGGGTCCCCTTTGACCAGATGACCTACCATTCAGAGATGACCTTTATCCTCCTGTTGGCCAGGGGGGATGCCCCCACATTTTAACTGACTGCGTGGAGTTGGGCCATACAGAGGATGCCTCTGTTAGCTCTGCAGTCTGCTGTGCAGACCAACAGGGCCACTAGACCTCCCTACTGATGCAGCACTCCAGGTTTCCCCCCACTTTCTACAGAGGAGCCTTGGTGGCTGTGTTAGTCCGGGATGACTAGAGAAACAAATTCAAGGACATTCTTATGTGTGTAAGAGAGAACTTTATATCAGAGTAATTGTGTATTAAGAAAATACCCCAGCTCAGTCCAGATCAAGTCTGATATTAGCCCCTATGTCTGATACCAGTCTATAAATTCCCTTCAGACTCACACAAGACATGCAATGATGCTGAATGCAGGAAGATCACAGGCCGGTGGGTGGAAAGTCTGGTGGATCCAGTGGTGGTGTAAACATCTCAGCGCTGTCATGGGTCTCTATGTGGTCCCTCCAGCTCAAGGGATCTGGCTGCCATCAGCATAGCTCCATGTGGCTTGTCAACAGGAGTGTCAAGCAGAGAGAGAGTGTGTGTCCTCTTCCCAGGAGAAAAAGAGGAAGTTCCCAGAATCGTTCGGATGGGTGTTACCTTGTGAGCTGATTGACAGGCTAAACTCCACCTCTTTGCTCAAGTTGACAGATTATGTAACTGCACAGTGGCTCTGTGGGTTAGGCATTGGTCTGCAAACCCACCAGCTGCTCTGCGGAAGGAAGACGAGGCTGTGTGTTTCATGAGGATTTACAGTCTCCAGTCAGAATCGACTCAATAGCAGTGGGTTTGGTTTGCCTTTGTTTTTGGTACAGAGGAAGAAAGTGTTTTGAAATGAGCAAAGGAATATTGTTTAAAGAAAGTATTAGCCACCTGTCATGGAGAATTGAGAGATGGGCAATTTGTTTTAGAAAAGATTTACTTTTCAGAACGTGACTTCTAAGGTGGTTTAGGGGAACTCCCAATTGGATTGGTCTCATACTGCTGGGTGGGAATCAGTCACGCAATTGCAGTGCTGGCAATGGTTCTGTGGCGAAGCGTGCTGGGTAATCGGGGGTGGGGAGCCTCCTGCCAGGACGCTTTATGATCCTCCAGACGAAGATCACTTGCTGTGTCAGAGGTTACTAGTGAGCTTCGCCTGGCTTGAAGGCTGGTGGTTGCGTGGTAGCCGGTCAGGGCCGTGGGGAGCAGGACAGGCACCGTTTCGGGCTGTGGTGCCAGGTGATCTCACCTGTGTGGTGCAGGGACTGGTTCTTCCGGGAGGCGACAGCTCCTAGCTGTGAACTGGTTCTGCAGTGCAGAGACGCTGTAGCCTCCTCTTTGCCAGGGCGGGATTGGTCTACCCTCTGCTCACTGTGGCTTTTAGGGCCTGTTCAATTGTAGTGGACGAAAAACAACACTCAATTCAAGCTTGAGAAAGGGGAAAACAGTTATTATCTGCTTAAAAGGGAAGAGTCTAGAGGGGGCTTACAGGGTGGGCTTCAGGGCCTGTGGCTTAAGGGACTTGGTCTCTTAACTCTGCTCTGTCCTGTACTCCTGTTCTTAAGGATGTGATGGCAAGATGCTGCCAGCCCCACCAGCCTTCTGTCTCCCTCAAATCTGTGGCATCCAAGGCTCCTTGCCCCATTTAGCTTCCCCACCTGGATCACAGGCTCGTTCCTAAAAACATCCCAGTGGCCACAAGGATGATGGCCTGTCCTGGGCCATGGGCGCATCCTAAAGCCAGGGTGGGGATTGATTCTGGGGGAGGAAGGTGCCCAGAGGATACCGGGGGCGGTGTGGCCAGGAGGGTGCTGCGGAAGAGATGTGACTTGCAGCCGCAGCGACCACCTGCGCACTTGAGCTTTTCTCGTCCTTGCCACCGGTCATTCTCACCTGTCCAAATGGCCGTGCTCCAGTCAGGCCTCCCGCTCCCCCTTCCTTCTCCTCGGCTCTGTGTTTCTATTGTTTGCAAGAAATCAGGCAAAGTCTCAGTCGTTGACTCTCGTTGAATCCTTGCAGCCGCTGGATGAAGTACCAGTAGGTGTTAGACAACTTGATCATGAACTCCAGCTCGGCCTGCTTGCTCAGGATTCGGCCTGAAGCAAGTCGCTGCCCCTCTCTCGGCCTCAGTGTTCACGTGCATCATGCAGGGGTGATGATCATTTCTTCGTGGGGTGGGTAGGTGATCACGGAGCATGTGCCTAGGAGCACAGAGTCTGGGGTCCATGGGACACCAGTGAGTGCGCCCATCAGTCACTGCACTTGTAGGACGAGGAACCAGAGGCCAGTGCTACATCACCGTCCACGATCTCACAGCCAGTGGGTAGCTAGACTGAGGTTTGAGGTTTGGTGCTCTGCTCCTAAGCTAAAGGTTGGCTCTGCCACTACACTCACCTGGAGGCGCCCTGGAACCAAGATCTGGTGACCTTCATGTGTAAAGCTTATGGGCAAGAAAACCCTAGGGAGTCGCTCTCCTCTACAAGGGCGCCAGGAGTTGGAATCGACTTGAGGGGAATGTATTTGGTTTGGTTTTGTTTCATGTGAAGCACAACCAGTGTGCCCCCATTCTGCAGCATTGCCTCTCCCATCAGCCTTCATGGCTGCAGACAGTTCCTCCTGGCAGCACTCACCCCTGCCACCTGTGGTCGGTCGGCACCTGCGATCCTTTGGCAAACATCATGTGGCACACATCAGGCACCGAGTTAGAGCCTGAGAAGATGAGGCTGAGTGGCATTCGCAGCAGTCATTGGATGGGGATGAACTGGGCAACTCTGAGGATGGAGGACTGCCCATCTGTGCAGCTGGAGGTGGCCTAGCCCAGAGTGACCTGTGAGTCGTGTCTGCACAGAGGCATCGAGCGGAAGGACGGGACAGCTTTGTCACTTGAGGGCTCTCCATCAAGCTCTATGGATGGAAGTCTGATGGTTGATTGGCAATGGACCAGGGTTTTACTTCTCACCAAATTGTTGACTGTTGCTAATTCTAATTTACATCATTCCCTTTTTTCCAGTGTGGAATAATTTATTGGCTATTTGGTGGTGCCATCAGGAACCTTGGAAGTCCAGAACATGTGACTAAATGGCTTCAGCCGCTCCAGGTATGGCACGTACTGCCACAGGCGTCTTTTTCTATGGAAAACATTCAACATTAGCTGTGTGAGTGTATGTTGCAGAAAAAGAAACAGAATTAGTCAGCAAGAACATTGCCCGGGATGGAAAATTTGAGACTCTCTTTTCAATATTACATTGAACTTGTCATCCTGTTAAGATAACACTAGCTGTCATTCTGCTTGATTTGTATAATTCGTTCCAGCTTCCCTCTGTTCCCCTCCCAAGCATTCTTAATCCTTTGAGAGCTCTGCAGTGAGAGCAGCCACCTGCCGGGCTCATTCTCTCTATCCTCCGGTCAACTCCAGGAGCAGAAATACACCGGGATGTTTGCCATGACCGAGAGGGGCCATGGGAGCAACGTGAAAGGGATCCAAACTGAAGCCACCTTTGACCTCTCTACACAGGTGAGGATTCTGTCCTTTGCTCCAGAGTGCAGAGCAGCAGGACACCTGTACAGGACCGACAGACTCTCTTTCTACCTGAGTTCAACTTCCCTCTCTCTGTGTGGGTTCTCTGGCAGAGGATCCGGATTAGAGCCAATGCAGGAGTGTTTTAGTCGAGGTGGACGTATGGACAGCCGTCACGCGTCTGTACCAGCCAAAACTGGCACAGCACCTGCAAATCCTGGCCCCCCTCCAAACACTTGATATGCACTTGTTAATTTAATCCCTTGGGACAGCTCTTTGAGACTCGTGCAGTAACACTCAAGCCATTTAGTCTTCCATCCTAACAGTGGCAGTCTTGGTCTGGAAGGTAACCAGTTTTATTGTCACCCTGTGTCAGGGGAGTGAGGAGGCTCCATCTGTGGGGATTTCCTTACCAGGATCCAAGTCCTTTCTATTATTGGTCTCAGGAGACACATAGTCCTAATGGTGCCCTGCAGTGAAATTTTACATGACAAAAGAAACAAAAGCTTCACAAGCCTTTCTTTGACTACCTTTACTCTGTACACCTGGAGTACTTTTCCCTCCCTTTCTTTCTTTTTGTACTGTTTGTTCATTTGGTGGCACCGTCCGGGATCTTGGAATTGCGGGTCATGAGTACTAATTGGCTTCAGCTGTAGACATCCATAGATGTCTATGGAAAGCATTCAAAATAAGTCAATCAGAAAAAGTAAAATATTGTATCACCTCGCTTACATAAAAAGACCAAAGAAAAGGCAGACGTATAGGGAACAAAGTTATTGATGGTCACCAGGTGTGGGAAGGATGGTGTGGGGAATGAAAGATGAATGGAGATGAACATATTGAATTAATTATGGATAGCACAGAGGATCACTGTAATTGTTCTCACTAAGTTGTATGTATGTAAAACATTGAGTTAGCAAAAACTGTGGCAGTCAGATTTACAATGACTTCATGGGACATCGAGTTGTTGCTGTCGATAGGTACTGTCAGATTAGTTCGGATTCACAACAACCCTGTGTACAACACAATGAAGCCCTGCCTGGCCCCATGCCATGCTCACAGTTGTTGCTGTGTTTGAATCATTGTTGCAACTATGTGTCAATCCATCTCATGGAGGGTCTTCCTCTTTTTTTGCTGACCCTCTAAGTTACCAAGTATGATGTCTTCATCGGGGGACTGGTCCTTCTTGATAACATGTCTGAAATACCTGGGGTGAAGTCTTGCCATCGTCATTTCTAAGGGAGATGTGATTATACTTCTTTCAAGACGGGTCTGTTCATTCTTCTGGAAGTTCACGGTAGATTTAGTATTCTTCATCAATCCCACAATTCAGAGACACTGCGTGTTCTCTAGTGTTCCTTGTTCACTGTCCAGTTAATAGGCCTGATAAACGATCTAGTGATTTCGTAGTGCTTGGCACTGGGGCCCTGCAAGCAGTCATCCAAGGAGCAGCACTTGGTCTCTTCTCACCTGGAGCAAAAGAGGGAGAAGGAGAGGCAGGACCAGCGGGAGGCTACGGATGTGTGTCTGATTGCCTCCATGAACAACGGAACCTTTCCCCTGAGACCAAAAGTACTGGATGGGGCCCCACTACCGCTACCGAACATTTTGGTTTAAGATTCTACGGAAGAATCTGGATTAAAAAGGGGACAATGCAGAAGAGAATTTCAAATCCTCAGGGAATCGGAATTTTCTGGAGCCATAAAAGTTGGATGAATCCCTGAATTTTTGTTCTTAAACCTGAGTTTAAACCAAAGCTTAAATATTGGTTTAAACCTTAAACCAAAGATTTCCCCTGAAATCTTCTTAAAGCCAAATAAAAGTGCAGCTTGACCAGTGAGAGATGCTGGCCTTGGACTTTATACTCTTTTAAGAACCCTCTAGAGCTGTGGTTCTCAACCTGTGGTGCCCGACCACTTTGGGGGTCGAACGACCCTTTCACAGGGGTCGCCCAATTCATAACAGTAGCAAAATAATAGTGATGAAGTAACAACGAAACTAATGTTATGGTTGGGGGGTCATCACACCATGAGGACCTGGATGAAAGGGTCGCGGCATGAGCAAGGTTGAGAACTGCTGCGCTAGGTGGAGAGCGAACTGATCAACACCACAGTGAGAACAAGACTATACACTCAACCCAAACAACCAACCAACCAACCAACCAACCAACCAACCAACCAACCAAACAACCAACCAAACAACCAAACAACCAACCAACCAAACAACCAAACAACCAAACAACCAAACAACGCTCACTGCCATGGAGTCCGTGAAGACTCACGAAGCCTCACCTTTCTCCCTGAAAGCATCTTGTGGCTTTGAACCGTTGATTTTGTGGTTAGCAGCCCAACATGTAGCCCACGATGCTATGAGAGCTCTTCGACAAGAATATAAACACTGCACTTTTTAACTAACATTACAGTCTTGGAAACCCACGGGGGCTGTTCTACCGTGCCCTATGGCTCAGAATTGATTTGATAGCAGTGCGTTTGGTTTTTGTTCCAGGCTTCTCACTGCAAGGCCAGCGATTCAAACCCACCAGCCACCGTGTGGGAGAAAGACGAGGCTGTCTTCTCTGAGCAGTTGTACAGTTTCCGCATCCCCCTGGAGCATTTCTACTCAGTCTGACGGGCCTGCGGTGCACCGGTGCGCTGGCATCGACTGGATGGCAGACCACCTGTGGGTTTGGTGTTAGGATTTATGCCCCAGGCTCGGTGTCACTCTCCCTCCGTGGAATTTCCTGACAACAACAATCCCGTGGATAGGACAGTAAGCCCTGCTGGTGCTCTTGGGTAAACATCGGGCTGCTAACTGTGAGGTCAGCAGCTCAAATCCACCGCCCTCCTTGGGAGAACGATGAACCCCCATAGTGGCTGTGTGTCAGGATCGAGCTGACGGTAGTGGGTGTATAGAGCAATGACGTCGTTGGTGCCAAGGCAAATACTGCACACATGATCTTGGTAAGATGTTTCGAAATGGTCTACCAGTCTCCAGGTGCACTCAGGCCCCTCTGGTCATGGCGACCCCGTGGGGGTCTGACTGGACCGCCAGTGCGGACAGTGCTGGTGTCAGTGGTGGGTTCTTTCAGAGGCACATCATCCAGCCTTTCTTCTGAATCACTTCTGGGTGGGCTTGAACGCCCGTCTTTCAGTCAGCTGCTAAGCTCGATCGCATTTGCACCACCCAGGGACCCGACAGATATTTTTCCCCGTTTTACAGATGGGGAAACTGAGGTTCGCTGAGGTGAAGGGACTGACTCTGGCTGTATCATTGGTGCGTGTTAGATCCTCATAGGACTGCTCTTAACAGCCAGGCCAGGACACTGAGCTGGCCTCTTTGGGGTTTGGACACTGCTTCCTGCCCCGAACTATGGTATTGAAGTCACCTTGCTGTGCCATTTGGGAAAAGAAAAACCCAAACAAGCCCTCACAACTCTTACTTATCTGTTTCTTCTGACAATTATAATATTCTTCCCTGACAAAAATAATTTCCTGTGTCAGTCCCCTTTCCCCAAATAACATCAATGATTTAGCCGCCTGGTGCGCGCAGCAGCTGCCGCCCTCTGGTAGGGGAATTTGGGTGTTGAAGTCATTGTGCTGAGGAGACGCTGGTGAGGGCTGGGGTCTCCCCTGGGGCTGGGACAGAGAACAAGCCCATCAGAAGCCCACGCCCCTGAGCTGACATCGCAGGGAATGGCTTTCTCCCTTCATGGTTTCTGCGTTTCCCCTTCATTTCCCCTTTAAAATGTTAGAGCGTATCCAACGAGCCTTCCCTCCCTCAAGGGCTGTTTAAATCTCTTTCATTATCTAGTGCTGCCTGTGTGTGTGTGTGTGTGTGTGTGTGTGTGTGTGTGTGTGTGTGTGGAGGCGGAGGCTGATAGCTGGTCTAGCTGGTCAAGGAGTCGGAGAGGGATCCTCCTGTACTCGTCCGCAACACTGGATGGGGTGACCCGTGAAGAAGCTCCCCGGTCAAAGCCACCATTCTGGCGCTCACAGCTCGGACCATTTTCTTGACCTTCAGCAAACGACGTCGGGTGACCCACCACATATGGGGTGCATTATGTAGACCCAGCTTTAAGCGCTAGTATGGTGGCCGAGGCCTACGTTGCAAACCAAAGGATTTTGCCAGAAGCGACAAGGTCTTTCACAGGGTGGATCAGAGGCTGATGGGACCATGGTCCTGCCAGCTCTGCGCACCCAGCCAGTGTGTCTGCCATGACTTCTGTCTGTTCCCCATGCCCCCCTCCGCCCACAGGGACTGTGTTGTTGTTGTTGTTCTGTTCAGTGTTTGATTGATTGCGTTATTCCCCGCTTTTGGCTTCCTGCGAACGCCGCGCCTGGGCAGCTGGGACTGGCCCAAGAGGACAAGGGCGGGCCCCACAGATTTCTGGGCTGTTCCCGAGCAGCCCTCGCACACGTGACAAGGTTCCCTGTGCACACACCTGTCAGGGCATGTTTTCGTAGGCTGCCAGACTGTGTTTCTTGGCCAGTAGGAAAGCGTGTAGTCTCCGTGCTTTAACATTTGAAATCTGAGATAACCCTTGTGCCATCAGTAGCTCGTTGGCTTCGTTTGGCCAGATATTCCAGACTGCCGGCTCCAAGGAAATCTGCCAAGCTTCTGCTCTTCTGCCGCTGACCTGGGTTCCCCCACCGGCCCCATAGGCTGTGCCCAGAGCTGGCAGAGAAGGGCAGCGGCTCGGGCAGGAGGTGAGCAGCTTGGGAAGAACGAAGCTTTCTCACTGTGGACCTCACAGGCTTGGTCCTTGTGCCTTGACTCAGACACATCGGAAAAGATACAGCCAGCTTTGAGCAGCGATGGAGAGAAGAGGCAGCGTTTCCATCCACCCTCGTCCTGACCAGCCTTTGCTTCCTGTCTCTTTGTGGCTGGAATCCTTGGCCGTTGTACAGGGGCACCTCTTAGACAGAGAATCCTTCGCAGGCACGTTTGTCTCCGGGCTTAGCTGCAGGGTCTTGGCTTTTGTTTGTTTGCTTGGAAGCTCTTATTATTCTAGCTGCTGGTTAGGCAAATGGTGAAACAGATTTGGGACCAGCCATTCTAAAGCCGGAACAGATTGAAAATCCAAGTTGTCAGGGCCGGTGTTCCCTGCATGCCGTGGTGGTTCAGGGCCATGGTGACCTATGAGACTTGCTTGGATGCGGTCATAAAGTTCCAGTCTCTGCTTGGTCTATTGCTGTTTCCACCACAGACCCACACTACGGGGGCAGGGCTGTACAAGGCCCCGTGGACAGTGGAACCAAGTGATTGATCCAGAAAGGGGAAAAGACCAACGCCTAAAATGAATAACATGGACATGGGCTCTGGAACCATCCAATCAGGGCCCTGGGTGTGCCATTGTCTCTTGTGAGATTTGCAGGTGGGGTGTCTGGAGGCAAAGACTATGTGGAGGGCTTATTTCACTCCACCAAGGCTCAGAGGAGTCTTGATGTTGGGTTTTCTGTCCCTGGGTGATGCAAATGGCTAACACGCTAGGCTACTAAGTCAAAGGTTGGAGGTTCGAGACCACCCAGAGGCTCCTCAGAAGAAAGTGCCGTTAATTTGCTTCTGAAAAGCCAGCCGGCGCAAACTCTGCAGAGCACAGTCTACTCTAACACACCTGGGGTCTCTGTGAGTTCGACTCTACTCTACGACGACCTGTTTGCTTCTACTGGTGTAAATACCTCAGTATGACGTAGTCTCGAGCAGGGGCGCTCAATACGTCGATCGCGAGCTACTAGTCGATCGCAAATGTAGTGCGGGTAGATCACATGGCATTAACAAAATAGACATAAGCCTATCATCAATCTCATCACTTAATTGATATTCAGCACAGCCAATCAGATGCAATCTTAGGTGTCAAACGCATGCGCAAACAACTGCGCTAAGTGCAGCAAAACAGACAAGCTAAGTTATCAACAATGTTAGACCGTGTTTTTTTTCTCTTAAACATAAGAAAGGGTATTAAAATGAGTGGGGGAGCTGGACCAAGTAAGAAGACAAAAACGTATCACTTTCATACGGAATGGGAGATTTTGACACCACAAGCCGACATCCAGCTGAAGTCCAGAGTGCATGAACAGTCGTGGAACTCACTCGCAGAGAGAAAGTACCCAAACCTGAGAAAATGTGCTACCTCCTTGACTGCATTATTCGGCTCTCCTTATTTATGTGAGTCAGCCTTTTCCCACATAAAGATCATTAAGTCCAAGTACCGTTCTACCATGACTGATGATCATTTGCAAGTGTGCCTGAGGCTGGCTGTCAGCAGCTACTGTCCGGACTATGCATCCCTGGCTCATTCCATTCAGTGCAAGTCATCAGAGTAAACTCAGGGAATGACAAAAAATGCACATAGTTAATTGTGTTGTGTTGTGCAATGTGGACTGATGGTTATGCAAGGTCATAAACATACATTGTACTTATGAAGAATTCTTAATGCATTTATGAATAAATAAATAAAAATAAATATACATTTTGCATTTTTGTAGTTGGTAGATAATTTTGACTTGATTGTTTTATAAGTAGCTCGCATGCTGACAAAGTGTGAGCACCCCTGCCTGGTCTAGAGAGAGCACGATTAGTAACCGAGGAAAGACTTTCCATGTGAAAGCCAGGCAGAGGCTCAGCCAGATAGCACGCATGTCATCCCAGCATCACAAATACAAGAGACCGGAAAGGAGGGGACCCCTCTGGGGCCTGAAAGTCAGCCATTTCTTTTCCCGATGGGGTGATTCCTTTAAGATAAGGTGACCAGATTTAAAGCGGGACACCATTGACTGGGGGTGGGTGGGTGGGGGTTCTTGATAAAAAATTTGGTCTACATGGACTAAATAGACCATTCCCTAGCTTGTCGTGCATTCTTTCAAAAATTGGGACTTTTTAAAAACACCAAAAATCAGGACTGTCCCACCAAAAGCAGGACATCTGGTCACCGCACTTTAAGAGGCACTTTGCCCTTTGAAGTTCAGGTGGAGGCAGACTTGAGGCTGAGCCGGCTGGCAGCATTTGGGTTGTCCTCTCTGCGTGTGCGTTTTGAACCCGGAGACTGTGCCCCGGGAGCTTTGTTCACAGTCCTGTGGCACTGAGTCTGCGGCATGGCGCCGAGCCCTGCAGGAGGCTGCAGTCTGCTGCTCTCTGCTGCTTCTCTGCAGGAGTTTATCATTGACACACCGGGGGAGGATGCTGAGAAGATGTACATCGGCAATGCGCTGCAGGGGGACTACGCCGCCGTCTTCGCCCAGCTCATTGTGGATGGAAGGTCTCAAGGTTCGTCACCAACACAAAACTGGGACCCCGTTCTGCACCAGTACTAATTGCCGATGAGGAGTCCTTTACAACTAAGACCTCACTTCCTAGGGCTATGTTTATCTAAAAAAAAAAAAAAATCAGTACTTCGATACTTTATCTCCAAGATACAAGGGGGCTTCGAAACGTGTGGAAAAATTCCATGACCTTTTAATTCTGTTTTTTAATGATTTTTTCCCATGAACTTTTGGAAGCTTCCCTGGTATCCACAGGTGACCAAGATAAAATCCTTGACACCTTCAACCTTTTCTCCATTTACCACAGAGATGTTACCTGTGGGTCCAGCTGTGAGGACTCTGGTCTTCTTAACATTGTCTTCATACTGAAGGCTAAAATCCTCAATCTTCATCAGAAAGTCCTCCTCACTTTCAGCAAGCAAGATTGTGCCGTATGCATAGTGAAGGTTGTTAAAAGCCTTCCTCCAATCCCGATGCTACATTCTTCTTCATAGAATTCCCAGGGTGTTTTCACATCATCCACTGTTACGTGCAAGCACATGGTCAAGAGGAAATGGCTGGTTTGGGGAATCAAAATAATTTTAGGCTGTTCCAGGAAATGAATAAAACTTTATTCCTTTCTTCAGACATCCAGGCGCCATAGTAACTCCCTGTCTCTTGGCTTCCCCCAGGGCCCCACTGTTTCATCGTGCCTGTCCGGGATGAAAATGGGAGCCTGTACCCAGGAGTGACCGCTATTGACATGATGCACAAGGAAGGTAGGTCCCCCGGCTTACCCCTCACTTGCCTTTCCCGCCTGCACCCCACACCCTCAGCCAAAGGCGACTCAAACCCAACTCCCTGAAAAAGCCAAGGCAGAGAAAACGGAAAAGATTCTTTGGTTTCAAAGCCAAGTTCAGAGTCTCCTATGTACACCCATTAGAGGACGTTGCAGGTGCCCATTTATTTATATTTGTTGGTCTCCTTTTCTCTTGGTTTCTCCACTTTGGCCCTGACCAGTGCCCCGTCTCCTCCTCTCCCCCTTTTATAGCCAAGAATGCTCAGAGAGCAGGGGCAGACCCTCCCTTCTGTGCCCCCAAGCCACCAGCCTGGTGTTGGTGCCAGGTGTTGGAAACCCACTGGGCAGTTATCCCAAGTCTGCCTCCATTTCCCTGATCCCCAAACACTGACTAGCCTGTGGGCTCTACGGGTCATCCCCACCAAGCCCCACTCCAGCCCAAGAAAAGGTTGCCCCCCAAAAACCATTTCTATGGAGTCTGAGTCAGAGGGTACCAGGTGTCACAGAGCAGAACTGAGTGTCATGGGGGCTTCTTGTCTTCTTGCCTTTCTCTGGTGGCGCCATCGAGTGGGTTGGCAACTGCCAACCTTTCAGTGACAGTGCAAAACAACAACAACAACAACAACAACAACAACAACTAACCAACTCACTGCTCTTGAGTTGATGCCGACTCAGAGTGACAGAGTAGAACTGCCCTTGTGGGTTTCCAAGACAATAGCTGCTTTTTTTTTTTTCTCCCAACAGTTTTATCGGCATATAATGGATACAATTCAATAGTTCAGTTATGTTCAGAAGAGTTGCATAACCATCCCCACAATCGGTTTTAAAACATCTTCTTTTGTCTATTCCTTGTGGGAGTAGAGAGCATATTTCCCTCGGAACCCCTGTGGTTTAGAACGGCTGATTTCACAGTTGGCAACTCACCTCGTAACCACTACGCTACCCGGGCTCCCAAGTGCAAACCACTTGCATCACCTAGGGACCTTAAAGGGGGTGGAGGGAGAAGAGGAAAATGAGAAGAAAGAACTGAGGGGGAGTGAACAAGGGAGAGGAGAGACGGCCGTGGTGGTGGAGACCGTGGTCCCGTCCAGGCCTGCTAGCTTGGGCTACCCCGGCAGCAGCTGCAGGAATGGGCTGCAGGTGCGTGTGCCGTGTTTCCATTTGTCTCAGTGCTGACTTGGGCTCTTGTTGGCTCCGGGCCCCTTGAAAGGACCTCGTGTGCCAAGTGTTGTTGAGAGAGGAGGGGTAGGCCCTGCTCTTGTGAAGTGGTGCCGGGCATTTAAAACACAGGCAACTTGAGACAGTCTGCTTGGGTCCCCGTATCAGTTCCTCCATGCAAGCTTGCCCTGGTCCAGGGGTGAGGTCCTAAGTGAAGACGTTTCCTACGTCAATATTTTTCCCACGTGAAATCTGCTCAGTAGTTACAAACAGAAGGTAGACCTCACGTGCCAGCAGGTATCGTTGGGTGGTGGGTCTTGCAGATTTTAGGAACCGCCCAGGGAATTGGGTCCCCTCAGTCACCCACTACTGTCTTTGTGGCCACTTGCCTTGGGCTCTTAGGCATCTGCTTTCCCAAATTCACTCCTGGTGACATAGTGGTTTTGAGTTGGGCTGCTAATTGCAAGGTCAGCAGTTTGAAACCACCAGCAGGTCTCTGGGAGAAAGATGGGCCTTTTTCTACTCTCTTAGAGAGTTACGGGGCAGTTTTACCTTGTTCTCAATGGCAGGGCATCTGGTTTTGGTCTGGGGATGCAGCACTGAGAGGGTGGAGGCATTTGAGCGCTGCATTGCTGGGGAAGGCAACCTGGTTTTCAGGCCTCCAGTGTTCAGCCTTGGGTTCTTTCATTTGCCTGGTACTACCTCTTTCCTAGGAGTCTTGGTGGTGTAGTGGTTACAAATTGAGCTGCAAACCGGAAGGTCGGCGGTTTGAAATCACCATTCACTTCATGGGAGCAAGTTGGGGCTTTCTACTCCCATCAAGAATTACAAGGGTCATTCTACCCTGCCCCATGGGGTTTCTATGAGTTGGCATTGACAGTGAGGGGTTGTTGTTGTTGTTGTGTTTCCTGTTTCCTAATCATAGTAACTTCTTGGGCTGACAGATGTGCCTCAGTTACCACGGGGCCCTCACCTGAAGCCCAAGCACATGAGCCCTTCCGAAGGAAGACACATCCTCCTGAGGGAGGAGCCAAAGGCACAGGAACAGCTCCCTGAGGAAGCCCCCTGGCCCCCAGGAGTCAGCTCCAGGAGCCCCGAAGTAAAACAAAGGACTGTGTTTTGGAGCAGAGCAGCCTGGGAAGGAGCAGGGCGGGCAGTGGGTGATGGCCTAGTGTTCCCCTTGGGCAGCGCTCCGTCTCGTTTCTGTTTCACGTCCCCCTTCGTTTCTGTTCTCTCTAGGTCTGCATGGCGTGGATAATGGGATTTTAATATTTGACAAGGTCCGGGTCCCGAGGGAGAACCTGCTGGATAAGTGAGTTGTTTTCTCCCTAACGCTGGCTTACTGTGTGTGTGTGACTCATCGCTCTCTCGGGCATCTGACTTCCTCAGCTCCACACCCAGCCTGTCGGCCCCTAGCCTCCTGATAGGGCTATTGACAGCCATTGGAAGCTGTCGATACAGAAATAGGGCAGGGGTGTGGGAGGTGGGGGTGGCGAGAAATGAACATGATCCAAAGTGCTGTTGTTGGTGTTGTGTCCCTGTGTTGGCTCTGACTCGTAGCACAACAGAAGGAAACATTGCCCTGTCCTGCATCATCCTCACAATTGCTGTGATGTGTGAGCTGACTGTTCTAGCCACTGCACCAATCCCTCTCCTCGGGGGTCTTCCTCATTGCTGCCGATGCTTTCTTTTATCAAACATGGGGTCCTTTTCCAGGGACTGGTCTCTCCTGGTAACATGTCCAAAGGAGATGAGATGAGGTCTTGCCATCCTTGCTTCTAAGGGATATTCTGGCGGCACTTCTAGCAAGATAGAATCGTTTGTTCTTCTGAAGACCATGGTACTTTCAGCTTTTTTCACCATCATTCAAATGCCTCATTTGAAAACACCATGGCCTGCAGCAGGCGTATTTAGAGTCTATGCTTACCCCATGCTACACTTGGCCGGGAGCAGCCTGACTCCCACTGGTTCCCTTCTGAGCAAAGAAAATGTTGGGATGGAAGGTCACTCTGAGTGAACCATGAAGCACACATGGCAGGGACAATGCACTTGAATTATTGTGCTGACAAAGAATATTGAAACCACCATGGACTATCCAAAGAACAAACATATTTATCTTAGAACAGTGGTTCTCAACCTTCCTAATGCCGTGACCCTTTCATACAGTTCCTCATGTTGTGGTGACCCCTAACCATAAAATTATTTCCGTTGCTACTTCATCGTTCTCATTTTGCTACTGTTATGAATTGTAATGTAAATATCCGATATGCAGGATATATTTTCAGTGTTACAAGTTGAACATCATTAAAGCATAGCGATGAATCACAAAAACAATATGTAATTATATATTGTGGAATATTTATTTCTAATGACAAGTAAATGAAATTTTGTCTTGAACCATGGTGTAGCATGGCTAACAGTCTTCACACCGGCACTCATAGGTGGGCTTAGCTGCATGTGGGTGGACCCACCTGGAGACTGGTGTCTCGGTTCCTAAGACCATCAGAAATACGTGTTTTTCCATGGTCTTAGGTGACCCCTGTGAAAGGGTCATTTGACCCCCAAAGGGGTCATGACTCACAGGTAGAGCACCACTGCCTTAGACTTTAGAGTGATGTTCTCTCTCTTCTGCACTTTAAGGAGGTCTCGTGCAGCAGATTTGATCTCCTGAGTGCTGCTCTGTGAGCATCCACTGACTGCACACAGACAAAATCCTTGACAACTGTTAGCCCTTCTCCTTTCACCATGGTGGTGCCCATTGGCCCAGCTTGGAGGGTTTTTCCCATTGCTGCAATCCTTGATCTTACTTGACATCATGATAGTTGCCCTTGAATATACATCTCTCTAGTTCCTCCTGCCTATACATGAGGGGTGAGATAGTTTATTGTGCCAGCCTGGCCGATAAACACAAGTGGGATTAACTGAAGGGCAGAGAGATAAATGGCTTGGTGAGCCTCG